TATATATATATATATATATATATATATATATATATATATATATATATATATAGAGCCAGTAAAATTAAGTGTTTTTATTATAAGATTGCTGGTAAACTTCATTTATAACGAAAACATTTCAATTTTTATTGGTTTACTAAACTGTATGTCTTATTATTGTGCGACACGTGGTGAGTCACAACTTGTATCTGAAGCATATTGTTAAAACCAGTCAAATACAAGTAGCGTTGTCGTTCTTCATACCCGCATGCCATCATACCATCATCTTTTGACGATGAACCCGTGTTAAAATGCTGACTAAGGTTGAACACCAACAGATGAGTCGACCCCTATTCTGTACGAGAATGTCAGTGAAAAGGCTTAAGCCACTTGCCGAGATTATTCACTAACGATTGCGACTTTTGGTTGAGATCCGATTGTTTACGTTGAAATAACCAGAATACGGGTACTTTCCCAATCATGGAATACAATAAAAATGCAATATGTGTACCCTTCTCATTACCTCAAGATATTTGCACATAACACTCGTGCAGAGAGAGACATTGACATTCAATGACGGTTTCGTCCATCAAATAGTGTAACACGCTACTTCAAAACGAAAATATAGCGAGTTCAAGTAACTGACGAGACACCAGTAGCATATAATCTTCGACTGAAAGTGTTTTATTTGGCCGAAAACCTGTACACCGACGCTGCCGTGAATCATATACATAGCCAAAGCTCAAGACCTGCTGTGGCTTTTAATTGTCCCGTTTTCGTCTATGTGTGTGATTTCATGGAGCCGGTGACATTCAAAATACGCATCAAAGTAGGGTTTATGAATTAAACGTATTCGTATTGACACAAGTCGTGTGACCTATATCTGTACATCTACATATTCACGGCCACCGTGCGTATTCGTATTGACACAAGTTGTGTGACCTATATCTGTACATCTACATATTCACGGCCACCGTGCGTATTCGTATTGACGCCAGTTGTGTGACCTATATCTGTACATCTACATATTCACGGCCACCGTGCGTATTCGTATTGACGCAAGTCGTGTGACCTATATCTGTACATCTACATATTCACGGCCACCGTGCGTATTCAAAAAGCTATATAAATAAGTAAATCAATCACGATACAATGCATCGTTGTTTTTCCTGTGTGTATTTGTCGTGAATAAGGCAAAACGCCTTTTCATCGTCTTCAAATAGTTACCCTTACCTAATTCGCATAAGAATACTGTTGGTTCAGACTCGTTTCGGGAAAGCGAGCCTAGCTAGCACCTAGTGTGGATTAGCATAACACAGTGTATATTGCCATAACTTCTAATATTTATATCTGGCAAGTATGTGATGAGTACTCGCATGTCAGAGTACACACATCGACGTTGGTGAGATTGAACCATCTACCGCCGGTGGGTCCGAATAAAATGACCTGGAGACAATGTAAATACTTTTTTTAGGACGAGTCATCGAAAATTAATACAATAAAATAGAAATGATGCTTATAGTAGTAGTGTAAGAATTTCTTCCTTCCTGTTGGTATACCGTGTCGGTCATCCATCTAAAACACGATAAGTAAGACTTACTGCTGAACCGAGGAATTCAATTCACGTAACCATCCACAGCAGGAACTTATCACCCTCTAGTCTTGACGTTGTTATTTCATAGTATGTTCAGATACCCACGTTACATCGGATACGTAAAAGTAATCAATGTGAACATGGGCGGACGTGTAAGTAAGTAAGAAAGCAAGCGACCACAGAAAGAAGTGAATATTATTCAATAACGCCGTATATCCTATTATCAAAATACATTTTCGAACAAACCCAAAGGTTTCAAAATTCTGTGCAATTTTCTGAATACGTAAATGTTCAGCATATTGATGTGTACAAGGAAGATATTTCAGGGGGTGTTTACTGACTGCTGATTAAGAGGAGGGCTGAATACACAATACACATTGTATATAGTTAAAAATACACAGTGTCAACAGTTAACAATGTAAGCAATTATACATGATACAATACAGCATGAGCTTTCAAATAATGTTAAGTGAACAAAAGCTCTACTGGATCTCCATCGACTCAGAGTAAAGATATATAAAACATTCTTTTTTTAGCCAGTGAAGTGCCAGTTCTAAACGCCATGTGCCCAAGCAACTATCCCTACAGCTGCGCAACAATGGGAATGGCCGGTATTGTCCTTTGCATCTCAGATGGTCAGATATGTGATGGAATATTTCAATGTAGCGATGACAGCGACGAGTACACATGTGGTATGTATTAAATAAATACTCAATGAATCATTAACATTTGATTATATTGCATGAAATATTAAACAGTCCATATTTCATTTAACGGCTCATCTGGAATAATTGACGGAATTTGGTTGTCCTGTGATAGCTAAAACATTAATTAGCAAATGAACAATAATCAATATATATATATATATATGAATTATATTATTGATATATTATAAACATAACAGTGATGAACTACTCAATTTATTTTCAGGATTCGGCATCAGTAAAATGTGGTATGATGAGATTGCAGACTACAATTACAATGACCCTGATAGCAGTACTGGAGTTATTGGTAAGTGGAGCATGCATGAGCGTGCATGATTCTGAAACACAACATAATCCGGGTTATTCCATCCGTGCCTGTCGTGCATTTTATTATGAAGGAAATAAGTATTCTCACTCATCATAAATCATGGCTGTACATTAGCTAAAACCTAGATCTCAATCTCTGGGCTGGGACCAAAATAAACACAACGATGCATTTCCACTTTGCATATATGTTCCCTGATATATTTCTACACGACAAAGTTCAATGTTGTGGAAAATATTTGTTTTGTGGGAGATACGATGCTTTCAAATACGAATGCAGCTTTAAGACGATTGTCTGCTCCCACGCCCACTATTAGAGTATAT